TTTTTTTTTTGTATTTTTGTTTTTTATTACAAGATGAATAAAAAACAATTTATTCTAACATGTCTATGTTGAGATGTATTGGGTATAATATTGGCTCATATTTTTATAATAGTATGTCCTCTAAAAGACTAATTAAATTACAACCATTTACACAAAAAAATGTTGTTCATATTCTTGGAAATTGTTATTATCCTGAAACTAATGAAAATTTAAATCATTTGACTTTCAACGATGCAAACCTTAAAATTCATGATTTAATTGTAGCAACATACAGACAAAAATATTCATATTTAGGAAACACTTATCTTTCTTCTGATGCAGGATGGGGGTGTGCTATTCGAGCAACACAAATGATGGTAGTAAATGCATTAGTCATTTTTAAAGATCAAATGCAACAAATAGTTGATTATAATTCGTTTGAACATCAACAAAATAAATCACAAGCAAAAGAACTTATTTATGATAGAATCTCCTCATTATTATCAATTCATAATATCTACATTCAACAAGTCATTAAAACACATAATCCAAAAGGAACTAATTTTTTACCACCATCTATATGTTGTATAGCTATTTCGTTTGTTATTAATTTGAAGATAATGCAATATTAATTTTCATTAATAAATCAAAGTCAATTCTAAATGCATTATAGGTCACTCTTACAAGAATGGGACAAAAAGCCATTTAATTGTATCACGTGTTTAGACCATATTCCAACTTGTTCATATCCAACACTTTATTTAATTCCTCGAATTATCACATTCACTGAACATCAACTCATTTTAGACTCATTAGCTCTTTCTCAAAGTCGAGGATTTGTTGGTGGTATTGGAGAATCAGCAATTTTTGTTTTTGGATGTCAAGAAACAACATTATTTTTTTTAGACCCTCATTATGTACAAAATGCAGGGGACTTTGGGTATTTTAATCCACCAACATACCAAATAGACATTTCTTTGATTAGTCAATCTGTTGTTTTTGCTTTTATGTGTTATGAAGAAAATGAATGTGAACAACTTCGAACTATCTTTAATATGGGGAAAATACCTATTGTTCCAAGAGAATTTACATCAACGAAAGAAATTGATGGTATTGAAGTCTTAGACTTTTAAAGTAATCAACGTTCATTGTTTATTTAAGTTATTTTCGTTTTGTTTCATCTGAGTAATAATGAGTCGAAGAAAATTTGAAAGACATGACGCTTATAATGCAAGTAAAAAATGTCTAATTACTGTTTATTCGCTTTTTAACTTTCAAAGAATCTTATTGTTATAAAATTTCTTTTATGACTCTGAAAAAAGAAAATTAAACTCAAATCAACTCATTTACAGATGAAACATTTGTTTAGAAACAAACAAATTAATGAAAATTCTTTTTATTCATCACTTAATATCCAATCACCAACACTTCAACAAACAAAAGGATTAGAAATTGTCTATTTAATGAACATAGTTCCTTATTTGGAAAATATTTCAACTTTATTAACATTTATTTTTGTTAGTAGAAAATGTTTTCATTCTGTAAAACGATTAAAGATTAATCCATTCTACTCTTGCAAATTAACTAATACAAAAGAACGTATCAAATCATTAAAAAAAGAGATTCAATATTTTGTTGGGATAGAAACATTTCTTTGTGATTCAGAAATGATTGAGAAATTAACAACTGAACAAATAGATAAGATAAAAAGATTTAATCTTTATGGAAAAGTCATTTATACTGCACCAAACTTAATCCAAATAGCATCAAAAATCACTTATTTTTCATTTTATGTTGATCTTGATGTACAAATACCTATTCAAAAAATGGTTAATTTAAAAAAATTATTAATTGATATGAATGGAAATACTGAAATGGTATTTTTTACAGAATATATCATAGAAATATTTGCTCAACTTCAGTCTTTTCAATTTTTTCATTCATTAGTTATAGAATGTAATGGTATTGAACTTAAGAAAATAATTTCAATTCTTAATAAATTTGAATGGAATAAAATTAGAGTTATTATTAAATGTTTTGATCTTAGAGAAGAACATATTACTTGGTTAAATGAATTAAAAATTAATAATCGTATTATTTCTTGTTATTCAAATGAATTAAAAAGTTCATTTGTTAAATTACTTGTTCTTCCTTTATATGATGCTTCTAATACTTTAACAATTTCTAATGATGTTCTTCAATATCGTAATTTATTATCTATCCTTAATTTGTATTGGCTTGTACGTTTAGACTGTTTTGAAATTTCTTCTCTTCAATGTCCTGCTTGTCGTGTAGATTTATCAATTGCAAATTCTTTGCAAGAATTTAATTTAACAAATACTCATTACTTACAACCTTCTTGTTTCATATTACCTACTTCACTTAAAACAATTACTTTCACTGATTGTTCTAATATTACTCTTCCCAATTTGGCTTCTATTCATTTGTCTAGTTTTTCTATTAAAAATTGTTCTACTGTTCAGTCTTTGTTCCTCCCTTCTACTCTCACCTTTTTGGAAATTAGAAACACTCCACTCAAAGCTTCATTGAATTTAGAATTAATTCAATTGAAACAATTGTCTATTGTCCAATGTTCTTCATTAGAGTCAATTATTGTTCCTTCGTCAATTCAAACTATCTGTGTTTATTGGTGTGACTCATTAACTACTATTGAAAAAATCTTTCAAACTACTGTTAATAAATTAGATCTCTTTCATTGTATGAGATTGAAACCCCTTGCATTACCAATAACAGTCTCACAACTATATATTTCATTTTGTCAAAATAGTCTTATCAACAATATAACTCAACTAACAAACTTAACATCTCCATTGTATTAATACTTATTTCATTTATTTTCATTAACTATTATCATTTAAGACTATAATTCTATCACTTTAATACTACAAATAAGTTATATTTTTCATAAACAATCTCTTTGGTTTAACTCTTCCTTTGTGCTATCTCATGAATTTTTCTCATTGTTATAAAAATGATTTAGAACCTTTACACAACACCCAAAAACTTGAGAATTTCCTAACAAAAATTAGAAATAATTATTACATAAAAATACTCATCAAATAATGCTAGTGTGTTTAATAA